ATGCCATCTTATTGTATGTCAGCCATTGAAAATCAAAATTCATGCCATCTTACGTTATTTTCAAAGAATCATTTTCCTTTATTGGAACAAAGTACCTACTTGTCAAGTCCTTCTTCCAATTTGTACTGTTCCTCAACGGACCATTCAACCGCCAAACCCGTATCATGCTTCAACCCTGGTCCAGATTCCAAAGGAAGTGACGACCCGAAAGAATTCCCAGCCTGAACAGTCCCTGGCGAGGAAAAAATAATTCCCCCAGCTGCCCCCGTGGTGCAATCATTTAAGCTTAAATTCGCGTCATTCCCAGAGTGGTTATAGTAATTTCCCATGGAAACCATCGGAGAAACCACCCCTGAGCTGCTGCTGCCTCCGCTGCTTGTCCCTGATTTAAACGATATCCCCTGCTGATGCTGCTGGTGATGAAACCCTGCGTTCTCAGCTTCCATGTTATATAATATACAAATATCTCTTACCAATTAATCCATAAAACCCCAACCCCTAAATCCCACCAAGTATACTCCAATTCCAGTTCAAGAAATTCCGGCCCTCCACAATAATTTCAGAAAATAATCCGCCTTTAGTAGCTTCTATTCACATTACAAACTGCTGCTGCAAAAATAAAGAAAAGAAAAATCCAAAATAGTTGTGAGAGTGCTTGTGTATGAGGTTAGAGGCACAAAACATTTAATAGTCAATAGTTGAAGAAGGGTAAGGGAGATGTTCCTGCACACCTTTATAAAGTGGGAAAGCTTTACCATTTTTGTTTTTTTTTCCTTTTTCTTTATTTTTTTTGGTTTTAAACAAGAAATGCTATATGGATTTTCTCATCATCTTCTGTTCCTATTCATACTTTTTGGTGTTGGGTTCTTGCACCAATGGGAGAGAAGAGGTGTAAAAGTTGGGGTAATGAATGTAAATATTTTTGGTTTGGGTGTTGTTGTGGCAGATGAGAGATCTTGGAATTGAGCAGAGAGAGTGCGAATCCCAATAAGCATTTGATGCCATTATTGTGCAAACGCTTCACTCCACTCTTGTAATCCATTCATTTTTCAATCATACCCACTTGAGTTTGACAGTATTTCATTTCAGACCACAAATATTTGCAAATTTTCCATTCTAGTCCTTTGCAATTAAGCTCCTATTTGGCTTAACTAAAAAAGTTGATAAAACTTTAAGTAGAAATCAATAATTAACTTTTATTACATATTTCGTGAGACTCGCAAAATTTATCAACCTTACAATTCATCGGTTTTTATTAACAAATCAATTTTTGGCAAAAATCAAAAAGGGGTTAGATACAAAACTCGTGTGCAAAGACATTTTGTTCATGTTTGGCTCCTATTAAAATTATAATTTATTTTTTCCTTTTTTTTTTTTATCAACAACACATTTTCCACTAAAATAATATTACACGTAATTTCAAAAAAAAATCTTCTTTTTTAACCACACACTTTTCAAAAGCACACTATTCCAATCATTACAATTTCAAATAATGTGCGCCAAACGAGGACTTTATTTTTGTTGTTGTTGTTGTTGTTCGAGGTGAATGATGGAAATAATATACACCTTTCACCCTCTTGAAGGAAGTAGGAAATGCAAATTATTTTTTTATTTACAATTGAACTAAAGTAGAATATGATATAAAAAAAAAACTATTTAGATCTTCATATTTGTAACTTCTAGAAAATACGAATTAATTTCAAATGAAAAGATAAATATGCAGTGTTCAACTACATAGAAAATTTTTTGAGGTGGTTAAAAATAGGAACTAATGTCCAATGAAAAGATAAATATATGGTCTTCTAAATACAAATAGAAAATATTGAGGTACTAAAAGTAAAAAAGATAACGATATAAAAGCAATTGCAAAGTCATAAGTAAATGATCATAACTATTCTTATATCGTGTTTGGATGTGCTTACGTGCATATAAGTAATGGGGACTTACTATTTATTCTGGCTCATATAAACAAGTTGTGGGTCTCACGTAATAATTGTGACTTCTAGCTTATCTACTTTTTTAAATATTAACTGTTTAACATCACTAAGAAACAGCGTAACTCAAAAGGATCCAATCTCCAACTACTCAAACTTTAATTTTAGCTCTTAATTTGTCAAGTTCAAGTTGTTGCTTTTGGGCTTATGGGTTCAGAACTGCATTATAAGATCATGAGCTAATTATAAAGTAACACAAGCTTTAAGTAATAGCTAAATAAGACACATTTAGTGCATGTTTGGAAGGTATTTATAAACAGTTTGACTTATTGACTTATGGATAGATAAAAATAAATAGTGAATTAGTGATTAGTACTCGTCAATTTTATGATCTGCATGGATAAAAAGTAATTTGATCAATTATAAAAATTAGCAAACCATAAGATTAGTAATGCGAGTCAAGTGTAAAATGACTGATTTACCTACGTCACTTCTTTAATAAATGGTCTATTTATGATCTATTCACAAATAAGGTTAATTCTATTCACGGTTACTGTACTTTGACCAAATATTCAATTGGGTCATTATACTGCGTGTTTTAACTTTGTGTCAATTGAATCGCTACATTTTCATTTCTTTGTCTTAATTTAGGCCACTTCGTTCAACTTTGTTATATTCTCTTACGATAGAAAATTGAAATTGCCACTAAATACTAGCTATCATCTCACTAACCTTAAAAAAAATGATTTGGAAGAAGTGATTTAATCGAAAAACATAAATTTTGGTATATTTTCAGTTCCGTTTAGATTAAAATTTTACTCAAACAATCATATCACTTTTTCAAGTCATTTTTATGGCCATATAGGATGTTAAGTCAGTATGTAGCTTAATGTAATGGGGTGGAATTGAATGAAATGATCTAAATAGACCTAATTGACACAAAGTTAAAGTTTAGAAATTCATTTGACATTGATTGAAGTATAGGGACCTAATTAAAAATTAGGTCAATTTAATTAATTAGGTCAAAGTATAATAAACTCTTTACTGCGTTGATTCGTCAAAGTACTGAGAAATGATAGTTTAAACTTTAAGCACCCAAATTAGTCATTGCTTGTCTACAATGATTCCAACAAACTAAAGCAGTGGGTCGGGTTGCACAACCCAGCCCACCTATCATGCCAGGCTAGATCCTCATGGTCCATGGGCTGCTTTCATTTTGGGCAATTTACACAAATATGGATAAAATATGGGGGCGAATTGATAATTATTCGTTTTTGTTAAATTTTACAAAATTACAACTTTATCCAGTGCTTCAGAAAAATCGAGTAATTTCTATTTATGTCATGTTTTGACGTGTATGTAATATTTTGAAATTGAAATTTTTTTTGAGTGGTAGGGTTGTGTTACTCACATCATAGTGTAAATAATTCAGCCACGATTTTGATAAAAGTTGATGAAATGTGTGATCAAAAAGTTGCGAATTCCATGAAATATGTCGTTAAAATTAATCGTTGACTTTGACTTAAGATTTTAACTTCATTTTAATCAAAACCAAACACGGGCTTATTGAAATTATAACTTACACTATTTGTTAAATGATGTTACACGGTGTTACTTATTGTTGCATTATATGTAACTTTTTTTAAAAATAAACACTAGAAATGTAGGATTGCTTGATTATAAGCCACAACTACATATTACAGTCTTCAAATTCACTATAACAATGTTACGTGAACGAGTTAACATGTAATATTTTGCATTCAACATGTACTCGAAATTGGCATGACGCAGTTTGGAAGATTCCTAAAAACATATTGGGTCCTCATTTCTTTTCCTTTTGCCTTCTTCTTTTGGCTCCTCCTAGGCAGGTGAGAAATGACCTCACTAGTGCGAGTTCACCCTAGGAGGTGAGAAATGACCTCACTGGTGTGAGTTCACCTACAACATTGAGGAGATTGGATGAGACAAGAAGCCACGCATCGCTTCATAATTTTATTATGTACTTTATATTCTTATACAGTCGCGTCTTATCCAATATGCTAAACACGTGTGAGTTTATTATACTCTCAATCTCAATTAATGCATCCCAGTTATTCGGACCATACATTGCTGGTAAAGAATAAAGGAAAGTACTAAAATTGACTAAGAAAGACTTTGCGTGTAAGTATTCATATAAATATAATTTCGGAATACGGTCAGCTGCCATCAATTAATTATAAGGAATTCTCATGGACTCTATAATGGTGGTGGTGTATGGATTCTACTAGATTTTTCTAACCGTAGTTGCATAAGGAAAAATCTAGAAATGAACTTCGAGCCAAAGTCGGTGATGACTTCTTCAACTTCATTATGGCTAAGGATTTCCATAGTATCTTTCGATATATTTTCCACACAATCATGTTTGGTGTACACCACGGTTCACACTTTGTCACATGACAAACTATGATTTGACAATTTAAAAAAAAAAACAAGTTTTTCAACCCATCACTTTTTCACAATAAGGACAATGTCAACAAAGGTGTAAACATTGGAATGTATAAATAGCGTTGTCCATTTCCACATCACAACCAATGAGATGAGGGCCCTGCAGTAATATAACAAGTGAAGAGTATATACAAGATATAGGACTTGACACTACAATAGACAAGCGTTTATCCAATTCACCTTATCAAACACACATAAGTGCGATATAGGAGTACCTTGGATTCTACTAGGTTTTTCTAGCCGTAGTTGCATAAAGAAAAATCTAGAAATTTTCTTGGAGCCGTCTGTGATGACTTCTTCAACCTCATTATTGCTAAGGATTTCCACAGTCTTTTTCGAAATATTTTCCACACAATCATGTTTGGTGTACTCCATAGTTCACACTTTGCCAGATGGCTCCACAGTCTTTTTCGAAATATTTTCCACACAATCATGTTTGGTGTACTCCATAGTTCACACTTTGCCAGATGGCAAACTGTGATTTAACAGTTTTAAAAAAAGTTTTCAAACAATTATTTTTTTACACGGATAATACCAACAAAGGTGTAAGCATTGGAATGTACAAATGACATTGTCCATTTTCTACATCACAATCGATGAGAAGGGGGCCCTGCAGTAATATAACAAGTGAAGAGTATATATAAGATTGGAAGCATATGGCACGTTGGATTATATAGGAGTGGACACTACAATAGACAAGCGTCTATTCAATTCACCTTATCAAACAAGCATAAGTGCGATATAGGAGTACCTTGGAAATTGCCTGTATGCTAAAGTGAACAATGTAATTATCTTTTGTCATTCTGCCATTTCCCACTTCAAGCATGTCAGGATCTGTTCAAAGCCATGCCATGTAAATATTGAGCTTCTGATAATAATAGATAGAAGTTGTAACATGGGACTATGGACAAAACTAACCATTCCAGCCATCGGGCCTTGCAAGATCTGCGTAAAGTTCATTCTCATCTGCTCTAGTGACCATACTACAAGAGAACCATTGTTCAAAGAAAAAATTAGTTCAAGTCCATAGGTGTATGACCAATTACGAAAAATAATGATCTGTAAGAGAGTGCACGTATCCCAATTATCTTAGATATCGTTTGCAGTTCCCCAACTGTTTCCTACATTATGATCCCAAATGCCTTCAGTCAAAATTCTTAAGTTTACATTCAAAAACTTGACTCCATAAATACCGGAAAAAAAAATCCAGAATCGACAATCGCAGAGGGAGAAGAAGGTCAAACGACTTGCATTCACTAATGCTCCGGTCATCGCAGGGTACCTATAGCATATGTAAGGAAAATTGTTGGGAGGAGATCAAACAGATTAGCTCACAAATCAACCAAAAAAATATATGTTCTAAAAGGAAACCCAAAAAAATGAACTGAAGAGATTAACTCAAGAAATTGAAAAATAATACGTATCTTTATTGATAAAAGCCTTCAAGCCAAATCACAAACTGCAATACTTCAATCTCAAGAATAAACCACCGCTTATGCTCGAATCAAGTCCCAAAGTAGAAATATAAAAGTAAACACTCAGACTAGACCAATATCACACAAGTATAAGATCTCTCTTCAACTATAACACACGGTTCACACAAGAACCAACTCTCACACAATGAAATCACACAAGATTACACACTATTTAGAGAAAATCAGAAATCAAATTAGTATATTTGATTTCTACAGAAGAAGATCTCGAAAAATGTTCACACAAGAACCAACTCTCAAACAATGAAATCACACAAGATTACACACTATTTAGAGAAAATCAGAAATCAAATGAGTATATTTGATTTCTACAGAAGAAGATCTCGAAAAAACGGCGCAGCAGCTCAAAGAAAAATGGAAGAGTCTGGAAGCCAGAAGTGTAGAACTCAAACCCTAGAAGCCCTTTTAAAAGAGTCACTCAATAGTCACCAATCCAATGGTGTTGGAGGCGACACGTGGTGACATTTGAGGCGTCCAAAATCAGGTAAGTGAAACACAACTTTAAACCATTTCTCAAAACACATTTTTGCACCAAGTAAACATAACAGATTTAACAGGTTGGGCTTCAATTCCAGCTGAGCCATTTCAATTAGGCCCAATGGTCTTTGCATCATTGTGCCACAAAATCCTTTCATAATCCACCTAGGTACAATGATTCACATTCATCAGTGGTTATTAAAAACACAGATATCATAAGCACAAATTTGCAGCATCCACAGATCAGCAAGGTGCAATATTCAGCAAGGTCAAGCAGTCCAAGTATTTGTTTAAAGGTAGAACTTTAGTACCTTTTTAACCAAATTCCTTCCTTAATAGCATCGGTGACTCAATGTATTCAGCCTCAGTTGAAGACATAGCCACAATCTTTTGAAACTGAGATTTCCAGCTTATGCATGAATTACACAAGGTATACATGTTGGAGGAAGTAGATTTTATGTTATCCCTATCACCTGCATAATCAGAGTCAGTAAACCCTTTCAAAATAACACATTCGGCTTGTTTTCTAAACTGATTGAGGTCCCCTTAATGTACCTAAGAATCCATTTCATAGCTTCCTAATGTGTTTCACCTGGATTTGACATTCGTAAGCCATGCCTAACACGGATAATATGTGGCACACTACATGGTTTAAAAGATCAAACATCCTACTTAACATTACTCATTTTTAATATATACAAAAAGAGAGTAAATTAAACATTTTTAAGTCACATGGAGCGCCACTTAAACTGCCTATGATATGTAGTGCATATGAATAGCATAGTTTGAAGATTTAAGTTTTGAATTAAAGGCTAATTTTACATTTTTTTTCTTGAAAAGCATAGTTTTTACCTTTAAACTTGGGTTGATTCTATTCGTAGTCAATATGTTGGATCAGAATACTTCAATTTGTGTCGATTGGATTTTTGTATTTTTAAGGCATTAAATATATTTTTATATAAAAAAAATAGATTTTTTAATATATATATAAAAAAAACAGATTTTTAAAAAAAGAAAAAAAAAAGGGGGATTAGACGGACTAATGCGCGCATTAGTCGCGCGCATTTTCGCATTTTTTAGAACAATGTTCCTACATTATGATCCCAAATGCCTTCAGTCAAAATTCTTAAGTTTACAATCAAGACTTGACTTCATAACTACCAGAAAAAAAAAAAAAATCCAGAATCGACATTCACAGAGGGAGAAGAAGGTCGAATGACTTGCATTCACTAATGCTCCGGTCATCGCATGGTACCTATAGCCTATGTAAGGAAAATTGTTGGGAGGAGATCAAACAGATTAGCTCACAAATCAACCAAAAAAATATATGTGCTAAAAGGAAACCCAAAAAAATGAACTGAAAAGATTAACTCAAGAAATTGAAAAATAATACGTATCTTTATTCATAAAAGCCTTCAGGCCAAATCACAAACTGCAATACTTCAATCTCAAGAATAAACCACCACTGATGCTCGAATCAAGTCCCAAAGTAGAAATACAAAAGTAGACACTCAGACTAGACCAATATCACATAAGTACAGGATCTCTCTTAAACTATAACACAATGTTCACACAAGAACCAACTCTCAAACAATGAAATCACACAAGATTACACACTATTTAGAGAAAATCAGAAATCAAATGAGTATATTTGATTTCTACAGAAGAAGAAGAAGATCTCGAAGAAACGGCGCAGCAGCTCAAAGAAAAATGGAAGAGTCTCGAAGCCAGAAGTGTAGAACTCAAACCCTAGAAGCCCTTTTAAAAGAGTCACTCAATAGTCACCAATCCAATGGTGTTAGAGGCGACATGTGGTGACTCTGAGGCGTCCAAAATCAGGTAAGTGAAACACAACTTTAAACCATTTCTCAAAACACGTTTTTGCACCAAGTAAACATAACAGATTTAACAGGTTGGGCTTCAATTCCAGTTGGGCCATTTCAATTAGGCCCAATGGTCTTTGCATCATTGTGCCACAAAATCCTTTCATAATCTACCTTGGTACAATGATTCACATTCATCAGTGGTTATTAAAAAACACAGATATCATAAGCACAGATTTGCAGCATCCACAGATCAGCAAGGTGCAACATTCAGCACGGTCAAATAGTCCAGTAATTTGTTTAAAGGTAGAACTTTAGTACCTTTTTAACCAAATTCCTTCCTTAATAGCATCCGTGACTCAATGTATTCAGCCTCAGTTGAAGACATAACCACAATCTTTTGAAAGTGAGATTTCCAGTTTATGCATGAATTATACAAGATATACATGTAGGAGGAAGTAGATTTTATGTTATCCCTATCACCTGCATAATCAGAGTCAGTAAACCCTTTCAAAATAACACCTTCGTCTTGTTTTCTAAGCTGAATCCCCAAGTTTGAGTTCTCCTTAATGTACCTAAGAACCCATTTCATGGCTTCCCAATGTGTTTCACCTGGATTTGACATTCGTAAGCCATGCCTAACACGGATAATATGTGGCACCCTACATGATTTAAAAGATCAAACATCCTACTTAACATTACTCATTTTTAATATATACAAAAAGAGAGTAAATTAAACATTTTTAAGTCACATGGAGCGCCACTTAAACTGCCTATGATATGTAGTGCATATGATAGTGCATATGAATAGCATCGTTTGAAGATTTAAGTTTTGAATTAAAGGCTAATTTTACATTTTTTTCTCTTGAAAAACATAGTTTTTACCTTTAAACTTGGGTTGATTCTATTCGTAGTCAATATGTTGGATCATTATACTTCAATTTGTGTCGATTGGATCACACTATCATTTAATTTTGTCTTAATTTAGGCCACTTCATTCAATTACAACACATTGTCTAATGCCACAAACAGAGTTGGCCATTAAATACCAAAGATGAAAGATTAAGATCATTTGCACGTATTAATAAGAAGTTTAGGGACCCTAAATGCAAATTTTCCATTATCATTTCAAATGATGTCAAATTTGATAATTTAATTAGTTTAATAATGTTATGTGTAGTACAACATTTGGAATCGAAAAAATTATCAATGATATCTTTAGATATGGTTAAAAAAGTGCTTTTATTGTAATTTTGTCTTTTATAACTATCGTTAAATCTTACTGAATTGAATCCTTTCAGTTCAATTCTACGATTATACACCGAACAAAACAATTCCAAGTATAAAATTCCTATTTATAAATGAGTCGGTCTGGAAGTCTCTTATCTTTTGCATAAATTTAAAGGTTATATGAAAATCCAACCGTACTCTTATCAAGCATTTGGTTGATCACACAAAAACTTGATATGAATCTAATCATCGTGTAATGGTAAAAAAGATATAAAGCGAAATTTCGCATTTTGAATATTTATTGAAGGGGATCGATTCGAATGTTGGCCGCCAGTTTTATTCGAAAAATACAACTTAATTGTGACATTGGCTTACAAGAACACAATGCTGATCACAGTCAGAAATCCTCAAGAAACCGGTTTCAATATATACATTTTGCACGCATGAGAATCCACTGTTGCTGTCAAATTTCCTACAAATTTTGTCTTCAGAGTCTTGTGCTGCATAGTGCATCCAACCAAAAACAAGGGAATATCAGTATATAGATATTTGTATGTATGTATGTGTATGTGTATGTGTGTGTGTGTGTTACCTCCCAAAGGTCTCTTGCAGTAACTGCAGTGTTTTGAGGGAGCCCAATATCATCCCAGTGAGCAATCATGGAAGTTCGCAAAGCACCACGGTTCAGCAGAACTATGGCCACTCTGTAGTTTGAAAGCGGACCAGCCCACACCTATACATTAAAAGAAAAAGGTACATAGTATTCTGAATTTCTAATATGAAAAAGCAAAATTGCGATATCACATGATGGAAATTGCAGGACTACCTCGAGATCACCTTCCATCCTAACCTTTTTAGCCTGAACACCTAGCTTGTCTGTTTTAAATTAAGTACCAGAACATTAGTAATCAGGACGTCCGGACTGCAGAATATATTTACAATGGCAGATCGATGTAGTTACCTTGATTCACAGCAATCACTTCCTTATTTGCAATGATTTCCATAACTTCTTTCGTTGTATTTCTCACATCACAACCAATGAGAAGGGGGGCCTGTAGTTATGTTACATGTTTATAAGATCAGAAAGCAAAGATAAGCCAATTACGGGAGGTATACTTTAAGGGCATGTTTGGCACGAAGGACTGCTTAGTACAATGACAGGATTTTAGCTTCTTGTACATCCAATCCACCTTACCAAACACTCCATATGCGTGATATAGAAACGACCTTAGAAATTGCCCATATGCTAAAGTGAACAATGTATTCATCTTTTGTCATCCCCCCATTTCCGACTTCAAGCATGTCGGGATCTGTTCATGAGAATATTGAGCTTCTGCTAATAAGCCATACAAGTTGTAAGTTTTGATAACAGGCAAAACTAACCATTCCAGCCACCTGGCCTTGCAAGATCCGCGTAAACTTCATTCTGGTCTGCTCTTGAGACCATACTGCAGGAGAAAGAATGGTCGAACGGAAAAGTAGTTCAAGGCCTCAGGTATACAACAAATTATGTAAAACAAATAATCCTAAGAGGGAGTACCTATCCCAATTATCTGAGATATCATTAGTAGTTCTCCAGCTGTTTCCTACATTATAACCCCACAAAGCTGGGTGCAGATCTCCCCTGTTACAATCACAGTAAATTGTGTCGAAATCCAGAGTTTGTAAAGCCGAATACACAAAACTATAACAATGTAAAAACAGAATCACCATTCGCAGAGAGAGAAGAAGATAGGACGGCCTGCATTCATTAATGCTTGGGTCATCACAGGGTACCTATGGAAGGAAAAATAATCGCAGAACTTTTGTTTCAGATCAACTGCACCTAACCAGAAAGCAAGACATTATTGTCTGAATGAAGTGTAGAAATCAGTTTGGTACCGTTTAGTTGGCTTTGAGAAATCATTGTTACAATTGTCGTACTTCAAGTAATCTATGCCCTGTAGTGTAGAGAAAGCAAGTCATTAACACAGTTTTGTTGTATAGTGAAAGGAAAGCCACTGGTGGATGCTTCCGTTGAAGCATATAATTTATACTCTCTTAACACTTCATGAACTCAATTGTAAGGAATGTCTCCATCAAAACAGACAATTAAGAAAATTTTGGTCCGCAATATTGGACAGTACTACATTAGACAATGAACAACATTTTAAACTCTCTCTCTTCCGTAATACTATCAAGTATCAAGTACAGCCTAATGCAGCACACCAAATATGTAGTGTAAGTACGGTACCCATGACGCAAAGGTTTTGGCATCTTGTTGCTCATGACCAAGTGAACCAGGCTGTTTTTTGCTACAAGTGTAATATCTGCAAGTCAAAGAAAAAGCATTTAATAATGGAACTCTCGCTTTTACATATACATGCATGACTTCAAATAATATATCAGCAGACCCAAATTACCCTGCATCTGAGTAAATTCCTAGCTTAAGACCCTTGCTGTGGACATAGTCAGCGAGAGCTTTAATGCCAGATGGGAATGTGGATTTCTTAGGCACTAGATTGCCCTGATATCAGATTTTACAGAAAAGACGTAAGAAAACAATAACATAATTCTGAAAAAGTTATTAAACGAACATCACAATACTTTACAAAAGCAAACCTTGTCGTCACGAGAACTTTCACCCCAGCAATCATCTAAGAGAAAAGATTAAGATCTTTCAATCAGCTACTAGTTCTTCATGTCCATTCAATAAGAGTAAAGCACGGGAAAAAAATAAAAAAATAAAAATAAAGCTAGAGCTGAAATTTTACCAATGTTGACATATATGTATCCAAGCTTAGAAAGACCAGTTGAAACCAGAGAATCAGCTGTCAAGAAAGATTCACGGAATTTATTTATAAATCTATTAACGATGAAGCAAAATAACAATTTTTTGCATCATTTTCGTGAACATCTAGATGCAAAACAATCTTAACTGATTCATAAGATCTAAATGGTATGCAGTATTATGGGAAATCAAGGAGAAAAACTGAATGATAGTTATAAACAGATACCAGTTTCTTTGATGGTTTTTTCATCAATATTGCAAGCGAAATGATTCCAACTATTCCACCTAAATCAAATACAAGAAATCAATTATAAAAACGCTGATTTCACAATAAACAATAAAATTGCTCAACTTGGCAGAAGGGTTTACACATTACACCAATACGAAACAATAATAGACCCGTATTATACATGAGACAAAGGGGTAGAAAAAAATATACCCCATGGGAGGAGTGGAGCCAAGTCCATTTGCAAGAAGATTGCGTCTGGCGAGCAAATCCTCCATTTTTTGCTCAGTAGACAGCCGCATTCTCGTGCTTTTGGACGCATAAGAGTAAGTACTAAAACCACTGATAAGCAATAAACCTATTAACCATTTCAATCTACTCTCCATAATTGACCCTCCTCTTGCTCACACGGTAGTGAATTGTGGATGAATGCAAATAGCAGAAGAGGTGATTATATCATCAAAATCCTTATATCAAAGGCTTATCTGAAGTTCAGTATGTTTTGGCTAAGCTACAAGCAGGTTGTTGGGTAAAATTCCTCTAGAGGTCCGCAACCTTTCATAAGTGTGTTACCTATATCCAAACCTTTCATTTGTGTACCTATGTCCCCAATTTTTAACACTATGCGCACGGTCTAACCCTATGCATAACCACGCTGGAAGGCCTTCCCCACTCCCCGCCTGCCCGGATGGGGAATTTTCAAAAGGTGAGGTAGGATGGGACAGGATCGAAGCATTTTGTCGTCCATATTTCTAGAGGACAAATGTCCACTAAGACATTAAATAATAGTGTGTAATACGATATTTAACTAAAATAATAAATTTATCCTTAAAAGGACATTTAAAGTAACTCCAATGTCATTGTTTTTGATTGTTGGGAATAAATGATATTTTTTTGAGTGGCCCGTAATTTTATTTTTGTACTACTTCTTAATTACTCTAAAGGTCATCAATATTTATGTATTGTTGTACTTATATTTCAAACTTTTTGTGGTATTTTTAACGTCAAAATTTCTTTAATTAGCACATATGATAGTTTATGTCAAAAAAGTTCATTATGAGTACATAATTTCTTTCTCGTTTTACGTTTTTAAATATAAATAATTATAAACACAAAAGTGCATCAGAATATATGTCATTCATTTCAAAATAAACAAACAGAATATTTAGACATGAATCATCATCGGATACTATATGTGCTAATTAACAAAATATGGATGATAAAAAAAAAGTGACAAATAGAGAGAGACGTAATTGCTAAGCGAAAATTACATACATTTGATGCAATTCCAAAAAAAAAAAAGTGCAACAAAAGAAAAATATAGTCACCATAATTACCTTTTTTTATGTTTGGACAACTCTACCATTTTAGTCACTCGTCATCATCACGTAGGCTATGTGTAGACATTTTGGATTTTACCACTTTACGAGAAGAAATTTAACATATACAGTGATATAATCTAAGGTGACAGTAGATGGTTTGATGAAAAATTTGACTATATTTAAAACAATCTGAATGTCATAATAAAAAAAAATCATTAGGTGGGATATTGCGTGCACGGTGTTAAAGTGTGGAGGACATGAATGTTACATATAGAAAGTTTAGGACATGTTTGTCACACTATGAAAGATTGAAAACCCTTACCCAATGTTTTTAACTTTTAAGCTTACTTTTAAAGACTTAGAATTTTGGATTAAAATTTACATTTTTGTGTCAAACAAACAAAAGTTATTGGGCATATGTTTATAAACTAATAAAATTATAAATAAATAAAAAGAATAATGGATTAAGAACGTAGTATTCACGGATTTCTCGAAAATGTATGAATGAAAAGCGACTTAAATATTTATAAAAGAATAATAAGTATGAGAATGCGATAAATTAAGCGTAAATGCCTATTTTCATTACTTTTCTTTAATTGGTCCAAACTAACTCACATGTATCTTTAGTTAATTGAGATTTAAACTCTTAAAATCTCATTATTATTTTTAGACTTTAGAACTAATCCGTTTATTCAACTCTTTCCACAAACATCATGTGAAGCTTGTCAGATCATTGGGACCTCTCTTATCCTTTTGTGTCTGAATTTCCGTCCATGTTTGGTGATCATTATTTCAAAAAAAAAATAAAATTCTACATACTTATTTTAACCATACATTCTTTAAAAAATTCATTATTCAAAACTCTATTTTACTCAGATAATGATCATCAAACACGGACTAAACCGGTAATATTAATAAATACTTCTTATACTCGTGGATTTTTGAACATAAAGTCAAAAATGCGGTAGATTAAAAAATTAAGGGGTTTTTCTCTTCGTATTTCAGTTTTGTGTTGTGAGTTTTGAATTCATTTTGGGTTATGTGTTTTGAGTGTCCATTTTGAGATTGTTAAAAATGTGATCTTTTTGACATTTTGAAAAATTGTTTTGAAAATACCCAAAACGCGTTTTGAAAATTTTGGTTTTATGATAACCGAAAACACCCAAAACGACAAATTTGTCATTTTTGATTTTCTTTTTAGATTTTTAACTTATTTTCAAAAATTCTTTTTCAAAAATAGGAAAGATATTTTAAAAAATCGAAAACAAAAAATTTTAAAAAATCACGATTTTAACTAAATTTTGGCTTGATTATAACTGAAAACACCAAAAACGAGTTTTTTTTTGTAAATTTTTAACTTGTTTTCAAAAACGCATTTTCGAAAATAGGAAAGAGAATATGTTTTCACTATTTTGGAAAATCGAAAATAAAAAACGATTTGAAAACAGCAAAGAGAACATGCCCTAAAGATTTTAAAATAACTATTTTAGTGTTTAACTATGCTAGAGTGATGATTTCATCATGCTCGTGTCTCTCTTATTTGGTCTTTTTAATTTATAAATTTTTATTTATTTAAAGACTTGTCAAAGTGTTCCTAGATTTCAAATTTCCAAGATTCTTTAAGAAAAAAAGGCTTACACGTGACATTTTAATTAATTATTAGGTCCATGATACAATTGTCGACACTTTAGTCAAAGAAAGTGACAAGGGAAAATTATACGTGGGGCCACCCAACTAATATTTATTTATTTATTTATTTTCTCAATATATCTATTTTGTCTGTAATTATTATCAAAATTGACGAAATTCTGGCTGGCACGGACATTATGTGCTAGTTACCCTAAATTTTTAGTAGATTTTAATAAAAATTAATGAAATGTATAGTTGAAAAAAGTAATAAACGTTGCGAGTTGTGAAATAAATTTATGGTTGATAAAAAAAAAAAAAAAGTAGATTTTTTTTGTTATGATTTGGTTTTAAAAATCACGTTTTTAACGAAATAAAAATAACATATTTCAAGC